ATCGTTAAAGTATCGCAAGTGCCCAAAAAAAAGTTTATCTTAATATGGTTTTGCTATGGTTGTCGGGTGATGTAAACATGTGTCGTTTTAGGAGATGTTAAATTAAAAGCCAGTGATGCAGTTCTACAGGGTTTTCAACGATGGCCATTACTTTCCTGAGTGTTTTTTTGCCCTCCAGCCCTCCGTGCTGATGACGTCACTGAAAGCTATGAATAGGTTACTCGTGTTCTCAAAGTCTCTCTCTCACATGTAGTTTGTTGCTGAAATGCGGTATGCCGTCTGTGTGTGTGCATCCGCCCTGCTGCTTGGCCTTCGCTTCTCATGTCAGCAGCAGGTTTCCAAAGTCATGTGACACTGACAGGATCCGTAAAGTTACCTAGTGTCATGTTTTGTTTTTTAATCATTTATTTAGTATTATTGTCTGTTCCTGTTTTATTTTGTACTTACCCTTGTCTCTGTCTTTCAGATCCTGCTCCTCATGTTTTCCTGCCTTGAGCCTCCCTGTCCTGATTGTGCTCACCTGTGTCTCGTTATCCCCTGATTGTCTGTGTGTATATATCCCTGTGTTTCCTCCCTCATGTTGCTAGTTCGCAGTGTGTTCCTGTGTGTCACCTTGTTCCAGCATGTTTCCTTGTAGCTTTATAGTGATTTTTGACTGTGTCTGCCTTACCGTTTTGCCTTTTGCCTGCTCCCTTTGGCTTTGTTTACCTTGAAGATTTGCCTTCCTGTGTACCGACCTGGACCGTAATTAAACTCTGCCTTTTTCTGAACTCATCTACATGTGAGTCTGCTTTTGAGTCCCTGTCTCTATCTGGTTCTGATATTAATCTCAGTGTTTGTAACTTCTTCAACCTTTGAAAGAAGGTTTTAATTCTGTTTGATGACTTGTTTTTGTTTCAATACACTCCTGCAATAGATCGGTATTTACAAAAGGCTACCTCAATGCATTTTGTTGATCTTTATGGAATTTCTTAAATATTAGTTGAAAAATAAGCATTGTGTACAAATTATTCCGTCACTGCTGTTACAGTTTCTTTTTTATAGTCTTTGTAGAGAACCCCACTTTACAAGCCCCTAGTGGGATTTAATCAACTCTTCTTTGCATTATCATGTTATTGTATTGTAGTTAATTTTAATTAATTGATATGTGTGGATAAATGTAAAAACATTAAGGACACTGAGTGATCATCCTAAAGTCTTGTGTAGTTACAGGGAGAATTAGTAGATATTTTTAGAGACTCAAAAAGCAGAAGTGTTCAGTGAGGAGGTTTTTGTCACGGTGTAAATCACTGTGATACGTACTCATTGACAGAGCTGTCCCATGTCTGACAGTAATAAACTGCTGAGTCTCTCTCCTCCACAGTGCTGATGATCAAACGATAATCTGATTGTGACTGATGAGTGGATGTGAACTTTGGAGAGGAGAAACCAGAGCCATAGCTTGGAGAGCTGCTGTGATAGTTCCTCAGAATAAACTGAGGAACTCCTCCTGGAATCTGTTTGTACCAACAAGCAGCACTAGTCACAGTCCCCAGGTTACAGTCCATGGTGGCTGTCTCTCCTCTCCTCAGAGTCACAACAGGAGGCTTCTGTGTCACCAGCGTCACAGCACTCACACCTGGAAACAACAAGATGACATGGAGTCAAGAGAAACACACAGACTGATGAATCCAACATGAGCTCAAAGCTGCAGTAAGTCAGCCTCCTTACATGTTAGAGCAGTGATGAGAGTGCACAGGGTCCCCAGCATGTTGTCAGTGTGTGCTGAGAATGGCCTTGGAACTTGGAAAGTGAGCTCACTGCTGACAGATTAGAGGCTTTGGAGGATGAGGAGAGGAGGAGCTGGAGGAGCCATTTAATACAGCACAGAGACTGAGAGTGAGTGACAGGAGGAGGAGCTTTGATTCAATCTGAAGGGTTTGATACATTTCCACTCCCCCACCAAAAGGAAAAAAGGAGAGGTTATAGGTCAGGTTTCTTATCCTATCCATTCTAATAAGGTGGAATAATTTCTTAAAAAAAACATTTTTACTTTCTATCAAAGTAGGTGTAGTTCAGGACATGATCTCTTTTTTGGGCTCATGTACAATGACATAAACCAAAACTTTGAAAAATTATATTAAATGAAACATCTGCCTTCTTTCAGTCAAGCACAGTTTCGAGAGTCGATACTAAACCACTTTATTTGCATGAGTCTAAATGAAGACGAGAGGCATGCAGATGCTTCCTGTAAATTGAAAAATTACAATTTGCCTTAGTCAAAACCAAGGCGTGTGTGTGTGTGTGTATTTTATTTTTTTAAATCAGGCAGAGTTCCCCCTTTATCTTTCCAACTGTAATCCAGTGCTGCTCTCTAGTGCATAACAACAGAATAACACCCCACTCTAGTGTATATTGACCTCATGTATTGTCGTCAGGCTGTGCAGATTAATGATCAACTAATAAAGGTTTCACATATTGTATGAAACACATTCAATGAGTCTATTACAGACAATGCATGAGCCTTTAATGCAATTGTCTTCTGCATTCAGTTATCTATATCAATAATTCTTTAGTGAAAATGGTTGCTGATGCTACATGTACTTTGGGATCTGCCAAGGCTACTAGTTGTTTTTCACACATGTTCTTGGAATGCTCTCTGGGGGATCGTCGCCTAACAATCGAGGGTTATTATGACACCTGAATTTTAAACTTATATGATTCTAGTAATAAAAAAACGACATCCATATCTCATTTTGATACCACAAAACAAAGCTAGAAAGTCCTAAGCACCCAATGATTGGTAACTCCTTTTTTTAAATGACCAAATATTCAGACAATCTCCTCTTCTGTACAGAAACAGTCACACATTTATTTTAAGGTTAATTCTTTGGCCTTTATGAATTTACTTAGAGACAGGACAGCAGACAGAGTCAGGAATCAGGGAGAGAGAGTGGGGAATGAAATGTGAGAAGGGATTTGAACCTGGGCTATGGCCTCCATACTCCATCCTAAACACTAGGCTACGGGCGCCCCAAACAGTTGACAATTTTGGATGGACCCATTCCTCTCTAATCTCTCACTCATACCTGTTTTATGAAATATTTTTCGTTTTTCAGAAATACTTTTTGATCCTTTTGATCATTAAAATTACGGACAATGTATAGTTTTGAAAATGTGGTATTGACCTTTTAACAACCATACTCCAATCTATCTTGGGTATTTGTGATGAAGTTACCCCATTACCTCATTTGCACTTTATACTTATTTTAATTGATCTCTCATATAGGCCTGAAAATGAAACAAAAAGGGCTGTTATTTAGTCTGAAAGCACAGAAGAAGCATATTGCCACTTGCTGGAATATCCCAAAATCACTTTCTTTTCAAGTATGGGTGTTAACGTACCCAGACATCCACAGCGCGAATGCAGGGGGTCAAGAAGACTACGGTTGGGATGTGGCAACTAGGTGCACTCTGTGCACATCTCTAAAGCCTTCTGGTGGATCATCTCTTGAGGAAGGTGGCCTGGGGTATTCTTTCATTTCATTTATTTTTTTTTTATTTTTTTCTCCTATGCTTAGTTTTGTTTCTTTGTTTGATAAACATAATGTAATGGATGTATTGGTGTAAACCATCTCAGTAAATTATATGTTGACAAGGGTCAAACATACATGGAGAAAATAGTAATGCGTTTCATAAATGATGGATGGTATTCAGAAATGTAAACTTTTATTTTGAAGCTTAGAAGAATGGGGTGGCAGTTTGCATTCCATTCAAATCGATGTACTTTAATACTGACAACCAGCAGAGGGCGTATAGCAGCCCTCCATGTGTTTAAGTCTATGGTGTAAGCCTGAGAAAGGGAGAAAAAGGATGGGATCAGGAGCTGTTTTTTTTTTTGTATTTTTGTGGTTTTAATGTGCCTAAATGTTTTGATGTTTATTGTAAGATGTGTCATTTTAAATGTGATCATGTCTACAACTGCTGTGACATTTGGATTTTATTTAAATAATAAGTCAGCTATGTAGGCTATCTGACAGCTGGTGTATGTGCATTGCATAACTTGAATGATCTTGGCCATATTTTTCAAGTAAGAGCCACTCAAAAGACAAATGCCATCTTGGAAGACCCTCAGCACTCTCACTTATGTTAAGAGGGCCAAATCTAACTGATCCCTGAGGTCGTTTGTCCCTTCAGCAGTTGGGGTTTTAAATAAGCTGTAGGCATTGTTGCCTGTACATTTTTACTTTTTACTGTTGGTCTTTCTTATCTCACTCACATCCATCATGATGAAATCCATGGTAGTGCTGCTTTAATAAAGTCTATTGCCTATATGGACCTCTGTTGTAAACCAAATTTTCTTTTTTTCATGCCTGCTATTCCTCACCTGCCTTGTTCCGTATTCTCGCTTCGGCCAGTCACATGCTCATCCATTAACTTCCTGCAAAACCTCATAGTAATGGGCTTCTATATAAAACTGTCTACCTCATAGTAGGTCTCCAGCTACTTCCGACGGTATTACCAGAACGACCTGCTACTTCTGTCTCAGCAGACTGCTTTACTGGCCTGGTTTCTCTAGTCCCCAAAGTGGTCTCTATGCCGGTGCCCATTCGTGTCCAGGGTTATTTAATTAAATTCCTCTTTGTTTATTTTTTTCTCGTTAGAATGTCAAAGATAGAAGATAATGAAAAACTAAACAGAGATTCGTTGGGACACAAACCCATCTTCAACATGGGTCTCTTAAAAACGTGTGGACTGACTTGTGCACCGAGCTACCTTGTTCTTCTTCCTCTATACAAACCAGGTGAGTGTGCGCACCGTAGTTTTGTATTATCGGCCAAGTCAGAGGTTCCAACCACACTAACTTCACTAAAAGCCTGATTTAAAAATAACATCAATATTATTGTTGTTATTAAAATAACACAATAACTAACTATTATGATGGGTTTAGTAATGTTTTATTTTGAAACCGGATGCACTTTAATGCTGTGTGTGGTGTCTTTACACTGCTGCAAGATGTCGCTCACTTTGACTGTGTAGAGAAGCTGATACCCAAATGCGCATCGCTTTACCGACGCATCTTGTTAAAAACAACTAACTGCTCTTCTAAAAAACAACATTTTACTTCTGATAAGGGGACGACGAGCAACCAGAGAAATATTCTGAAAGGACGTAAAATGTGAGATGCCAAATATCTGCAGCAGTCAATATCTTACAGTGACTAAAATCTGTCCCCCCAAAAAAGGATACTCGTTTCGCCGGGTGACCGAGTAGGTGTACCTACACTAAACCTGTTCAGATTAGCTGTCACACGACGGAGGCGCGAGGTTAGGATTCGATTGTCAGACACCAAACAGATGTGGTGAAATGTCAACATCTGTCTCCGAATCCGTTCGAGCCGAAGAAAGAGCAGGATTTTCTTGGGTCTCTCTGTGAAGTGCGATGGAATAAAATGCTGCGCATTACTGCTTCTACTACAGGTTACTTGAATCTTTGACGCACCGAAGTCGGAGATTTATCCTCGACCTTGTTCTGGTTAGGCTTCTGCTCTCTTCTGCAACGTAACGAGGAGGATGGTCTTTGCCCTACATGTGATTGTCATGTCTTCGGCGTTTTTCAATCCCAGTTTTGCCTTCAGCTCCCACTTTGACACAGGTAAGGGTCAAACTACAGAATGAATGAGGGGGGTTTGTCTGTTTGCTGGAAATCTTAATATGTTCCCTCGGGATAAATGGTTTCTGCATGTGATGCAAGGCCATACATTGTGTATTGGTGCTATATTTACATCATTTTCTTCGTCACCAGACGCAGCATCATTGTTATTATATCATCATCATTAGCAGCAGCAGCAGCACTTAAGCTTAAGGCTCAGATCAGATATTGATTTTGTACATTTAGTCCCATAGCTTGGTGACAAGAGGGTTAAAAGTGCCTGCACAGATTCTGCATAGTTCTACATCCCTGCAGCTGATTGTGAAAGTGTGTTTGTTCTATCAAGGTGTGTGTGTGTGTGTAGTGACAACAACATTACAGAGGTGACCCCCTGACAGAGGTGTGTGCCTCTGCTTCTTGAGGTTGCGGCCCTTGACAATACACTTGGACGCAGTGTCTGATCATCTCCAATATAGGAACCTCGGCAAAGGAGGACCCAGGTGCTGCTGCAGTGCTACGGGACCACCGAGCAGGAAGTCATGGCCGTGCTGCTGTGTGAGGGCTTGAAGTGGAGCAGAATAAATAACTGTGTGCGAGGTGTAAACAGGACTGAGAGAGTCCCCGCACTGAGCTCAGTGTGCTGGGCATACAAATGACGGTGAGCTGAGTGACTCGGGCCTTATTTGTTCTCCCAAAACAGCACACTCTCACTGATCTTTTATCCCTCCTCCGATCTCTATCTCTATCGTTCTGCAGAATGTGACACTAAAAGGCTCCTCCATTTAAAGCCAAATGGGTTATTTATAAGATGCATGCTGTCCCTGTGGATTCGGGAAGTTTCTGTGCTCACAGTTGCAACAACATTGTGCAACATTATAGCTCTTGAGTATGTAAGACTTTAGAGGATGTTTTTATGAATAATGATATGTATGCTGTACTCTGATTTAAGATATATAATGCAAAGCGAAACAGAAATTGGTTTAGTGGCATATATCTATATCTATATATAGATATATAGATATTGGGAAAACCATGACAAAAGCATTTTTCAGCACAGAATGTGGAGAGGGTGCTGAGCTGGCGAGACCTTGTTCTGTACAGTGAAATATGATGCAAACCTACCCGAGGAGTGTAGTCTTTTAATTTGAAGCCAGATAAATGGTTCCCAGCTGACTTACGGGTAAAATGCCTGCTTACTGTGGCTCTTCTGGGGCATTACTTAATTCAATTTATCTGTCTTAGTATTTTTTTTTTTTTCCTGGAGGACAATATCCCATAAGGAATGTGCAGTGCAACATTCATATTTCCTTTCTTTGACTGACAGTCGCTGATGAAAAGCCTCGGTGACATGTCAGGATGAAATCAACATGTACATGTGTGTAGCTGGACCAAAGAAATGAGTCTGGTTTGTTAGCTCTTATAATGATTTACATTTTTCATACATTTTCAAGCAGCATCTGACAAGCGACCCTCTTCTGTCCTAGTAATTGCAATAAGAATCAATGTTGTCTAGGCGATGGAGGTGGGCGGACGAGAAGGGAACCAATCATTTTCATGGCCAGTGCTAAGGACGGAGAAATGCAAGAGTCCCTTAAAGGGGAGGGACACAAAGCATTCAATCAGATGTTCTGGCTGAATATGTTTCATTTGATAAAAACATGCCAACATATATACAAACAGCATTTGAACTCTAGCACCTTTAAGCTCTTTTTCTATAGCTGCACCTCCTCCTTGTTGGACTGCATAGTGTGCTCTAATTGTGAACAGACCAGACAGAGGAAAATAGCTATTGGGCTGGGTCATTTGACACATTGCACAGCATTAGAAAAGACGTCAGCAGGGAACATCTCGAGGTAAAAAGATCCCTTTTATCAACCCTCTCATGCCTCATCTTACACCTGGCTTACCACTGCTTCAGCACCATGGACAGCTCTCCCATCAGGAGAAGGGGCAGGCATGGGTGTGTTTGTGTATGAGAAGGATAAAAATACCTGGCTGCTTGCAGCGTGCATCACTTGACTGTCAGGGCAAACAGGAGACAGGCTGACCTGGAATGCGACACTGATACCAACCAACGAGCTGACAATGCAGCACTGTGGCGGGACTGTCTTTTAGCAGTGTCCTCTGGTGCCTGGAGGTGGCGGTAGCAGCTAGTGCGCATGTAGCAGACCATATCTAGATGTAGATGCAATGCATACACACATTTTCTGCCACTTGCACACACATTGGCATAATGCATAATGCACATGCAGGATTGCTTACACGTGCCCTGCCTTACACACGTGCATGCCGCTGCAGGCTGTGATCACGGTGCTACTGATATCACAGAGGGAAAGATGTTCAAAGATGTATCTTGACTTGCACTCAAAGCTCCTCCCACTGACTCGGTCAGTACAAAACAGCCACCGCTGACTGTTTGATTATTTATCTCTCCATGTGTAATACGGGGCACTTTAGTTACATAACTCTGCCTCTGGGGGAACTAGAATAAGAATGAAGTGGACTCAAGCAGTCAAGAGGAACCATCTATGGCTCCTCTATGTGCTCTCTGTGTGATGATGTGGGTTTTCTCTGAGTCTACTGTGTTAGAGGTTTGTGTGTGCGCAATTGCACTTTATCCCAATGCAGGATTGAACTTGTCACCATGTTTCATTTCCAGCTGTGGAATTAATATGTGAGTTAGAGCCTCTCAGTAGCATCTAGCAACACCTCACATGTTAGTAGATGGAAGTGGAGAGGTGTGCCAGTTATGATTCAAGGTGCTGCTGACTGATATAAGAAGCATTTAATGTCAGAAATATTGACACAGGGGATTGCAAGTGTATCGTCACAAAATGAGCAATTGCAAGAAAACGCATCATGGAAGTCTGAATTCATAGCAATAGTTGAGAAAAATGGATGGATGGAGGTCTGTGTATTATGGTTTTGCAAACTTTTGATGTAGGCAGATCAGTATCAGAATTCGCTATATTGATCAGGTATGCTTACACAAGGAATTAGACCTTGTTTAACGTGTATGGGCAATCCTACAGAACACATTAGACGAATGAAGCTCAAGCTTGCCATAAACTACACTCAAATTAACAGGTGCCAATTAAGTGGTGAAATTGTTTTTTTTTAATTGATTTTGGATGGCAACCAGGTATTGTGTTAAACATGAAGAACATGCAGATATACATATAAACTGTGAGTCATAGATTATATGCACTAGAGCACGACTGATTAATCGGCCAGCCGATATTAGCTTATCAAGTGACTGTCAGTATCGGATAATGCTATCTCAGATATGCGGCTATATAACTAGATTTATTCACCAGTCACAAAAGCATTTTTTTAAATAATTGTTTTACGCTAGCAGTTCTCTTTCACCAGCAGTGTGAGCTATATGGACTACAACAAGCATTATAACTCTCCAGAGTGTCAAGTGGTGATGCATATATGTGCACAGTTATTATACAGCTGAGTGACCATCTTGCTTCATTATATATATTTTCCACAAGAGTATGATACCTGCATTTGAAGGATCAAGGCAATACATCAGTATATCTATATCTATCTCTAAAGATCTAAGATGGATCTAAGAAAGATATCGGCCGATATATCAGCATCAGACTTTTTCTCTCCATAATATCGGTAATGGTATCGGCCCCAAAAATCTCATATCGGTCAGGCCGTAATATGCATGCTTCATTATTTTTGTTCTAACCCTAACCCATTTGTCAAACTTGATATCAGTTACAAAATATTGAACAATGTTACTGCAAATCAAAAAAATTTCACCTATTGTGAAGTCCAATTTTAGATTATATTTTATCCTTACAGATACTGATTCTAAAACCGAGACTTAGGTAGGACCTGATTCTGAGTTACCCACCAATACACAGTGCAAAATACTTAATACTTAGTCCTGGGGGTTGGGGGGGGGACATTGATTCTCTGTATTTTTGCTAGCTTTAAATACCAAACACTTGCACTCCCCTCTAGAAATTCCCTGCTGTCGTTTTCTTTCATCATATGATAATTAGTCTGGGACAACTTCACATATATATTTAGTGATGATAACGAAGCATTGACTCACACAGATCAATGCATTGAGCCGTGCATTGGCTGGCACAGACCAACTACCACAAGCTCATACCTGAACAGCATTTTATTGTACTGCAGTCAGGTATCAAAAGTTTTTTTTTTTTTAATGGCATGACATAAAGTCAAAGCAGTTAAATTGATGTTGGAAAGGAAGTTCTTCAGATTGGTTCACCTAAGGTATCTGTGAAAAGTGTGTGTCAGAGTGGAAGAGTTTACACTCAGCAAAAGGAAATCAAAGTGAAATATAGGAGAAATGATGTGTGCACGGGTGCCAGCATAGCTCCACTAAATTGCGTTCCTCAGGTAAATGTGTGTATTTGTGTTTTCTTCACACATACATATTCACTGACATTCTCCACACTTATGTACACACACCGCTTCATTGTCTGCATCATGAGACCCAGGCTTGAATGTCATCTGAGGTGCACATTTCTACGTCTGCATATGGTTTGCACATGCATCTCATTTGTGTTTATAAGCCAGAGGACTAGTAGACATGCACGCCTTGATCACTCCATCCTGCAGTGTGTGCAGAGCGACGTTCTGTCAGGTCTGTGTTGAAATGCTCTGGTCATCGATGACCCAGTTACTAAAATGGTAGATTATACAGTATTTAGCAAAGAATATGTTGTAGGGAATGCAAAAAAATATGTTCTGCTATTTTCAGCTATCCTGTAAAAGATGTATTGATGTAGTCTTTATCTCTATAATACACACATTTTTTAAGTAAAGCACATTTCTTTGTGTCACAGTATAGAAATCAATTCTATTTTGCCTCCTTGACCTTTTTAATGCTGATTTTCTTTTTTTTAAGTAGGCCGTTAAAATTCTTTATATTACTTACACATTGTCGTTTATAAGTAAAGCAGTAGTGACCTGAATTATAGAGCTCTCATTGACTTGTGTAACCTTTTCAT